ACAGATTCGCGTTAAAATTTTCACTATGTTGCTGCTCTGACCACGTAACGTAATAGTGCGAGAAAGTAATGGGTAACCCTGCCACTTCTCGCACACATTTACACGTGTGCAGATTGCGCCTTGCTTTATGTAGTAGTAGTAGGTAAATTAAATAATTTTCGAACGTCGTATGGGGTGTCCGGGGTGAGCTTAAGGTCGAAGACTACGCCATACAGAAAAACCGAAAGCAACGTGCCAAACGCGCCCTGGTAGAAATCTTCAAGGATCGATTGCAGAGTAGATGACTCAACTTTAGAAATGCGTTACGTATTTGTTCTATCCGACATTTGATCTCCACGTTATGATCATATTGATCGTTTACTATGCAGCCAAGGTATTTGTAAGAATGGACTCTTTGGACTCCTTGATTTTGTTACAACCAGATCTTTTATAGAATGTACTTTAAAAAATAATAAATAATAATCTTTTAGGCCTTGGGAGAGGCGAGATATAATAATCATATAATAATTCATTATTCAAATCACTTTCACATCTAAAAAAATATTTCACGACAAATAAAACAACTGTCTAACAAAACTAGTATCAAAAATAATTTAAAAACATGTATCAAAACTAGACCTCTGCTAATTTCTCAGTGTACCTCCAATGAAAGCGTTCATTCAAAATACTGATTGCACATCAATTTAAATTAACTCTAAACGAAATAACAGTTCTTTTAACAAAATTACCGTATTTTTTCTAAAAAGTTGCTCTACAAATTATCTTCCTTTATACAATGAAACACGTACAACAAATATATTTATGATATAACGAATAACACATATTGCATAACATTATTTGGTTGGTTCGTGGTTCGCGATCCGGCTCATGTATGTGGTATACCAGCAGACGCCAACAATGTTCTAATAGGACATAAAAGGAAGCGTGGACGTCCTGCGAAAGCAAGACCCGCATTAATGATTTTTTTTATTGAATTATTAATATTAACTATTATGTCCCACTGCTGGACAAAGGTTAATAAAAGTAACTAAATTTTTTTTAATTACTTCCTGCTTTTTTATTTTAAGCTTCGGAGCTGATTTTCTTGTAAGCAATTTATGATATTGGAACTAAATCGAACCTTTACTAGCGAATAAAAAAAAATACGATTTTCAAGCATTAGCTTTGTTGCAATGTTTGTGAATTTTTTTTTGTTGATAATAAAATGGTATGCATGAAATAGGTACGTTTTTTTCTCATAAATTTGTGGTCATACGTTTATATGCCTGAAATATTAGATGTGCATTGCGATAAAATGTTAAGTATAAATTTTAGTACATAATGCTAAATTAATTTTCTAACATACTTTGATGTGCAATCAGTATTTTTATTGGGGAAGTGGCATATTTGGTTGTGAAAAAACTTACTTTTTGGTGAGCGGTTAAATACTGCCCATAATAATATAGCCCCGCACTAGGGATACCCTGTGTCGCGAGTGCCATGAAAACACAGATAGACAACCATAAATTACACCCAAACACACGATAGAAATAAATGTAGGCCAGACAAATATTTCTCCTGACTCGAGAATCGAACCGTTCGGCCACGGAGGCAGTTTATAAATTTTGAATACTCCATTACTATGTTATTATTATTGCTGCAAAGATCAATCGATGGTCTCAGAGTGGCAAAAGACGCTGGTTCAAGTCCAGTAAGATCGAAATAATTTTTCTTTGTGTTCGATCTTGCATTAAATCAGCGAATATATATATACTTGTTCACCATGCCAGTACACCCGTTACCTAAAGTGACAGGTTGCCCTGCGATGCCAATGCACAATTTTTGACATACACATACAATTTAAGACTATTGGTATGAGTATTCTCTGGTATGCAATTCGCTTTGCCAATTCGTTGTATATAATTAACCATACGCTCGCGCAACGGCGAGAAAAACAGTTACCTAACCTGGATTAGCAAGTTTAACCAGCTGAAGTATATGGTTATATTGCTAGAGCCGAACTGTGACCCCACCATAGTGCACATAACTATACAGTAATTAATGTCATGCTGAGTTTCGAATTAATCGTGTAATTTTATTTTGTTTTAGTTATTAATACAGAGATCGCTTAGAAAAAATAAGCCAACTAAGCATTGACTTACAAATAAATGGACGACGGGTCTAATACAAAAACCACGAAAAGAATGTCCCAAGTCAACCTATTTAAACGTAGTGACATGTAAAGGAATATGAAAAAGCTAAAACGTTGAATTTAAATTTGTAATGTCATCCCAGTACTGTGCTAATTTTGCTTGCTTCGCTGTCAGTCGAACAAACGAAGACTAAAGCGTGAATGACGCTCTGTATACGATTTTAACGCCCTATAAGTTCGGACACTTTTTAGCGCTGACCCGACGTCCATATAATTGTAAGTCAATGCAACTAAGCCACGGAATGAACCAGCGAACCTAACGACTTCTTCGATGTGCTTATTGTCGGATCTTTGTATTTGGTTTTCAACGACCATTTAGACGTAGCGCCATCTATGAGAAATCCATGAAAGTAATTCGTCACCCAGTTAGGTACCTTTACAGCTACCAGCCCTGGCTAGAGATGTCAATATTAACTGTAATTAAATTTTTAATGAATGTCAGAATTTTAGTAACGGTAAAGATCCTTGTGAAAGGGTTCGTCCAGGGTAGTACTGCCACCTTACCTATTTCTGCCATCAAGCAGTAATGTGAGCATTACTGTGTTTCGGTTTTGAAAGGTTAAGGGTGCTGGTGAAATTACAGGCACATGGGACTTGTCAACTTATGTCTCAGGGTGACGAGCGCATTGGCAGTGCCTCATATCTTTGCAATTTAAAGCTCTGAGTGGCACTGCAACTGTTATGGACAGGCGTGTAGCGTACCATCAGGCGCACGACTTGTTCGTCCATGACATTCAATTATTTTTTTGTGAAATTACTCCACTAGTTTGTTATAATTATTAATACAAAGATTAATAAAAAAGATCTTTTTAATTTATTTTGTTTTGTTCGTGATTTTTTTTTTTTATACATGACAGACAAATGACTCCACTCCACCTGATGTTAAGTGGAAAGTGGTATCCAAACGCGAAGGAACCTAGTGCAGCGATGGAATCCTCACTGCACTAGCCACCTCCACCCTGCCTGCCTACAATATGCCTCTTCACGCCTCGTTTGAAGGATCCCATATTATATGAGGGAGGGAAGACATGTGCCGGAAGGGAGTTCCATTTGCCAACCGTGCGGCAGAGAAAGGAGCCACCGAACCTTTTAGTACGCGATGGAATTCGGCAGGTAGTGAAACGGTGACTACGAAGGCCAGCACGCGTGCTTCTGAGCAGGAACTGGGAAGGGGGGTTGAGGTTGAACAGCTCTTCAGAGCACTCACCATGGTACACGCGGTAAAAGGCGCTAAGCGATGCAACATCTCATTTTGTTTTGCAATAATTTATTTGTGTCTTACAATTGAATGTTTGATCAAGGAGTCATCACATTTATTAACGCGGAGGCGCATTAAACCGATCAGAAAAAGTTTTATGCCCATGTAATGAGAGCGAAAAAGAGTTTCGCTTACTCTCGGACTTACTTCGCTTACTCGGTCTTTTTGGCTCTTATTTCGTGAATATAAAGGTTTTTCTGATCGACTTAATGCGACACCGTGTCGGTAAGTGTGGTGACTCAGTTGTATCTTCTTTTCTTTGTTTTTTTTTTCTTTTCTGGTATATAGGTATATATCAAATTTATTTCTATTTTCTTTCTTTCTATTTAGTTTAATGCAACTAATTCTTAAATATTCTCTGCACGTTTACCAATGCTATCCTTTCTTAGTTTTATTGCCGTTTAGACATCCGTAATTTAATATTTATATATCAAACTACTACAAAACAACTTAAAAGTCCAACCAAATATGTAAAACTGTATACGTACACATCATGTTTTGGATAACATACAATTTATACAATGTTACGATGCTTTGTTGTTGTAAATAGCTTAAGAAAGTATTCGAAAGGTGCAAACAAAAATTGTAACATCAATATTTACATATTTGAGTAGAGTAAGTCTTTGTGTTTTATTTGTAGACAAATATTAAATATAACCCATATGAGCTTCGTTTTTCTGTGCCCGTCTTTGTTTGTTTGTGACCACAGAACATGTCCACAGAGGAATCTCTTCGGGATTAACATACGTGACGTAGCGATAAAATGGCGAGATTATAATTCTTCCACTGTATAGTTGAATAATTATCGACTATTTTATTAAGATTTATTATAAATGTTAGACAACATCACATGCGTTGATCTGATCCCAAAGTAAGTAACTAAAGCATTTGTGTTATAGAAATCAGAAACAACGACGCAGTAACCCACAAACCCAGAGCCGAGACGATATAGATAATTTAAGTACTTTTCTACACTGACCCAGCCGGAAACAAAAAACCGGAGTGCAAGCCACAGAGGTCGTCAAACATGTATTTTTACATGTAACACTGTTGTAATTTCTTTTTTTGCGTGGGCCTATTTTATATTAAAAAAAGTCGTACTCATGGTTTGTGTTTACGTTCTCTTTGTATGATTTTACTTGGCAAGTGTCGACTGTACATATATCGTTTTTGGAATACTCTTATAGCAAGACGAGTAGAGCGAAAATGACGAAATTCGATTATCAAATCCCAGAAAGTTTGGTCATTACTCTAGGTAGTTTGAATCTATTTATCCAGACACCTAATTTGTAGGATATGAAATGAAGCTTCAGTTACTAATTTCCCTATTTTATGTTACTGTGTACCGATAGAAGTTGCAGGATAATAAGCCCTCAACAAACAAGGCTGACCATTTCGCGTTATCTAATGATTTCACCGTTTCGACGTGCAGGTTTTTTTAGATTTAGTAATTAATAATTTAATAAAGTTTTCCATGTGATTACGAATACCGATAGTGCGAAGATAATTGTGCGAAAGCTATAATATGCGATGGCTTATTTTCACGTATATTCAGTTGCGCGAAGGTTTGAAAGCGCGATGGTTCATATGCGCGAATGACGATAGCACGAAGACAAATTTGCGCAAGCTGGAATGCGCGAATGGTTAATCCTACGATGATTCATTACCTTCACGGAAGTTTTAGTGGAGATGTCAATAGTTTGGTATTTTTTCCCGTGCGCTTTTATTTCAATGAATCGGTCTGAAAAGTTCGTGAAATTCTTATGTATCCAATTTCACGAATTTTTGAGGTCAATTGATTTTTTTAACTTATAATCATTGTTTGTTTCTTATATAATAACGCACACACTCAATATAGCCCCGCACTAGGGAAACCCTGTGTCGCGGGTGCCATGGCCACATACAGATACAACCACAAAGTACACCCATACTCACGAGAGAAATAAATGTAAGCCATAAAAATATTTCTCGCGGCCCGGGAATCGAACCTGAGACCTGTGCGGCATGGTAACCGTTCGGCCACGGAGGCAGTTGAAGTAGGATTAACTATTCGCGCATTCCAGCTTTCGCAAATTTGTCTTCATGCTATCGTCATTCGCACAAATGAACCATCGCGCTTTTAAACCTTCTCGTAACTGGATATTCGTGAATGTAAACCATCACGCATTATAGCTTGACTGTCATCGCACTACCATAATTCGTATAATCGGCATTCGCAATCACGTGGGAAGCTCTGACCAACAATAATGTAGCTATTCTACTTCTTACAATGTTATACCGCGCGTCTGAGTTCACATTGTGATGTAATAGAGAACAACCAATTAAGTGTCCGAAGAAATGGCGGTACAAAAATACATATAATTGCTTTTGCATAATTTTCATTGATGTCGTGTATTTAAATGAGCAAGTATAGCACGTCGATGAAATGTGTTGTAACGTTATTAATGTTACGATTTTTGTGTACAGTGCAGTGTTATTAACTATGCTTACACACATGCTATTAACATATTTTTTTAAAGTACGCTGTGATAGCCATTTTGACGTTAGTCTACTCATCAAGTTTCGTATTAATTCATAACTACGTTGAAGGAGCTAATTGATGTACATTGCAATAGTGACGTGCATTTTACGACACAGCTCGGCATTTGTTTTACGAAATTCGAAATTTTAAAAAATGAAATCTAATACGATCGTCGCTTATGGGATCGCTGGCCAGGACAACTTCTGCCTCCGGCAAACTCGCGTCAAAGCTCAATGCAAAACCAAGCAGTTTCGAATTGACGATAGGTAGGTAGGTAGTAAACATTCTTATTTTCGTTTTATTACTACTTTTTAATCAGCTACCCCTTGCAATATACTTGTTATAAATCTAAAAACTTTTGCGACCCACATTGGATTATATTTTTTTCGATAATGAATTGAGATTTGACCTCAGTATTGTAGTCTGTAAAACGGCCATCATAGTGCCGGTACTGTAGTAAAGGTGTTACTTCGTATTTACGCCGGAGGCGTAAGTTATGTGAAATCCAAATTACACGTCTAAACCGATGAACCAATATTGACGAATTTTGATATAAGAGGCTCTAGGCTTAGAATAATAACGCATAGAATGATAATTTCATATCAAACGAACTGTCACAAGTGAGGCAAAAATCAAATTCATGCAGGCTAGTTTTAGTAGTAGGTTAATTTTCATACAAGTTGAAACGCGTTACTTCCTTGTGGAATGTGATGTTAGTATCTGTTTTATGTTTGTCTGACATATTTTTACACTCATTTACCGCACATTTTGTCATTTTTAGCTAAAATTCTAGATCTGTTCGCGGTGCAAGTTGACCTTGAGCACTGAAGGCCCGCCCGCTCGTGTAGGCCCATTGGGCGCGCTACAATTTGCCTCACTTAGCGTGTGCGGACTAGGTTTCTATGCGTTATTATTCTAAGGCTCTAGGCATAATTTTTGTCACAAAAATAAACCTTAAACGTATCTCATAAAGAGTGATTATTCAGGACATGGCAAAACTCAATATTTATTTTAAATTTCATATCAAGGGTTTGGTTGCATTAAGGTAAGTGTACTCTTTGACATTGTCCCAAAGTATGACAATTCTGCATTATTTTTTTTAAATAAGGAAACAGATACTGATATAACTACAAAACCGTGTTACATGTACTAGTAATGGTGTCGCCACTTTGTAGTTTATAGGATTTAGACTAAACTGTAATACCTACGTACCTGGTTCAAATATTCTCAATGTAGATATTAAGGGACGACAAAAGATACTTAATTTATAGGTATATAAGCGGGTAGAAAGACACTGAACCATGATGAAAGTGTTCATAACACTACATTGTGCTATGACGAGGAACCGTAGTGGACCTCCAGCCTTTTTTTTTGACGGGGGAAATCTTTATGGATACCCCTGAGCGCAGAGAGACCCAGGGACTATGTGGGGACTCTCCCTCCAGACTGGAGGGCCTACCCCACTAAAACCCCCCCGGGTTTCCCTCTCGCCGGTTGAGTCGGCGCCATGGAATCAGTGAACATTCACCACGACGCCGCCGCCGCCTTAGCTTACGCCAGGGCTCTCGCGCCAACGGAGGGGCGAGTCGGTTGTCCTCCGACCCATCGCGCACCTGCTCCGCGGCCTCCTTTTGCGACATAACCTCTGCGCAAAAGGAGGCCACCGCCTCTCAGGACTCCTCGCTATCGAGCATGGCGGCAACAACGCTCGGCAGCGAGAGGGTGGACCTCCAGTCTCCCCTTTAGTCCAACCTCAGCCCAACAGGTTTCAATCTTCGATAGCTAGTAATCGCGGTGGAAGTGTACATGCCAGCTACTACCGACCCGATTGATGCCAAAGACAGGCACCCACAGTTATACGCGTCAATGAGGCTAGTATACTGCGGGTCGAGTCAGCCCGTGGCAAATTGAGTCATAGAAAATTTTTGTTTACAAGATTAATCTCGACAATTAACTTAGTTGTGTGTCTTTCCACCGTGTCTATGCATGTCGTAATGTTAAACAGTACATAGAGGAACTTACCAGTTGTTTGTCTCTTAGGGTACATTCACTTACACAGCCATATCTTCAATTTTAACCAAACTGAAGTGCTCTCGGTTCCCGCCATTACCGTTGACGTTACTGCCATCTCGATAGTGTTAAAATAACAAGTTAGCAAAGGCAAAACAGTGTTACCACAATACAAAAAATGGGTGAAGTTCGTTTACTCACCAAATGATTGATTATCGCGTGTCTCGCGACAAATGGTATATAATGAACTCCGTTTAGAAGCTTTCATCGATTCAATCAATATTTTTTCAATGTAGCGATTGCTTTTGCGAACAGGTGACCGAAGTTGAATGTGCTTCCGCTCACGCGATGCGCTCCTCCTACCGCAAAATAGCGGCTATTTGGTGTCGCAAAATAGAAAAGGATTCAGTTTAAATACAAGTTTTTATAAATAAAAAATATTATTCTGCATTGCTAAATAAATACCCTCCGTACTACCAGCAAAAACATCTCAAATAAAATGCAGTAATACACCGCAAATCCTGCACTTAAAAAGCACTAATGACATTTTTGGTGTACTTGGATAAATATGATAATATTCCGTTTGAGTGGTTCTAACGTTTACCATGAAATTACTCCTTAAAGTATAGTTTATAAACATTTATATTCAGGGTAAACTTAAAAAACGCTACTTACGGTATGTTTTCAATAAATAAACAACGAAATCACCAGCCCAAACAATACTCACACGATTGTCGTGACGTATTTTTGAAGTTGTTTATTTTTTTTAAATGACAGACCCAGGCATTAAAAACTTTATGGTTTGCTAGAGTAGTTACCGAAATAGCAATTAATTTTAGTGCTTTTACCTGTTATAACTTCGATATCCCATAAATCGGTATAAAATCACCACCGGCACCTCTAGGTGTGGTATGCCTCTACGGCTGCATGTATCGCGTGAGCGGTTAGTTAGTGTTCTTACAAAAATCGTTAAGACTTTGAGTAGTTTGAGTGTAATTTTTAGTCGGAAAAAATTTAAATTAAAAAATTAGTCGGAATTCTGTTATTTATTGGTAAGTGTTTATTAAAACTATTAGATAACTGTACAAACAACGTGTTGTTTTTATTGATATACATATATTGTTTATATTTTATTTTAGAGGTATGTCAAACACTGGTGCAAAATTTCAATGTTTAGCAGTAGTTGACACCCATGTCAAGCACTCGTACAAATGAATATTCGAATATTTTTTAATACTTAATTTCGACCATTTGGTAGGCGAATTACTCTATTAGTAGTAAGTTTGTATGGGTAGTTTGAGTAGTGTTTGACATGGGTGTCAAAGACTGTTTTACTATGGGGACCTTAGAAGATGGAAAAAATAAAGGGAAGGAGCTACCTTATCTGCGGAATAGACGTCTCTACCTAAACCAAAAATGTCCACCACAATTGGCGAATTTAGTGTTGTACCAAATCATAGAAAAGTCAATATCGACATGCAAAAGTATGGCATGAAAATTGATACTGTTGTTACTCTGTTTTATGTTTGCAAATTTGTGTAGTTAACTGTAATCAAAGTGTAATCAAAATGATGCATACTAGGCTATTATTACTAAGCAAGTAATGAGCCATTTTAATCAAAATTAAATATAAAGTTATTTACCAATGAATGTAACGATGGAATTCTATTGGAAGTTCTATTTAAATTTGAATGGAGCGAACAAACGAAGATGGTATTTGGTCCAATGTTTATGTTCGGCAGTCCTATAACTTCCAACCATTCTTTCTTTTTTCATTTGCGGGTATAGTTTAAAAATAATAATAATGAAATAATAAAAACCTCGTAGTGAATTGTTTCAATAACAGAATATCGATAATATGTATGCTTACGAGAACAACACTATCTCAAAATAATCATTATCAACAATCATCAAAATATTTTTTTTTATTCTAATGTAAGTGTGCGTTTGACCTCCATCTCACCTGATGGGATGTGACGACGAGGTCGACGATGGAGCATGCACACCTAATTAATTCCTATTCACTCTCGCCTTGAAAAGGTTCAAGTTATAACGTTCAGGGAACAAGTCTGCAGGCAGGGAATTCCACTCCACAGCCGTTTGCTATATAAATGTGGAAGCGTAACGCTTCGTGCGAATCTTTGGAATATCCACAACATAGGGGTGGAAGCCAAGCCGACGCCTAGTCCCCCGATGATCGAAAAGGGAGGCGGAATTAAATCGTGTAATTCCATCGCACACTCTCCGTGATATATCCTGTAAAATACCGATAATAGCCATATGTATTAAGTACAGTACGTCGGTATGCGGATCGGGAGCCTAAAATGGATATGGGCAGGACATGTTGCTAGTCGGGACGAACGACCGATGGACCAAGGCGGTCGATATCAGTAGCCGGAACCATAGAGATAGAGATATATTTATTTGTAAGCGTACACGGTAAATACAGTTTTCTCAAACATGCTCGGAAATGTTTGCATTAGTTTCAAAAAATAAACATGGAAAGATTGTCATTTATGGGCTATGCGTCTTCTTCCCGGCAAAGGCTTGCAAAGTAAGTGTGACGGCGCGTGTACACGCTAAGGGCGCGTGTATACGCTAAGAAAAATCTCCGGGCCTATGCGAGAATTCGTGTCGTTTCTACATACGAACTGTGTACACTGCTTCGGCGCTGGACACTAAAAAAATCTTGTCTACCCCCAACGCGACGCGCTCTGCCGCTATCGCAAACGAACGTTTATGCGCGTGGACTGATTTTACAAAGTACCACTATTGCACAACTAATTTCATTGCGACAAATAAAATGCACGATTTACTTATAAGTTATAGTTAGACGAACGACCCGTATTGTGGGTCAAAACCTTAAAGATTTATAAAGATAAACGACGTACTTTTGCAACATATAATTTGCAATCACCTTTTTTTTTTATTAATAGTCATCATATTTCTTCACACAGTCGGTAATAAAACGACAGCTACCTGGAAGTGCACTGACACGTTTACCCTACACACGTCTCCCCGAAAGCATTCGTATCGTGTACATACTCATCATTTTCTTGTCTGCAACAGACACGACATCTTTTCGTGGCTAGATCCGACAAAATTCATGTCGTGTAAGAGTAAGAGTCAGAAGAGGAAAAATTTGATTTTAGAGGGGTATATTCACTTTAAAGTTAAAAATAAAATATTGTATGAGTAACTACATGATATATTCAAGCATAGACATTAATCAGAAACATAAAACAATAAAATTTCCCCGATAGATAAAAATCACGAAATTACCTCTTAACTTTCACATTTTTTCGATTTATCCTCGAAATGCTACAGGACAAAAATTAGATAATTAATTATATTTATGCATGAACGACAACTGTCACTACGGATTTTTTTAATTCCTTTCGTTTTAAGAGTTATTCCGCTGAAACGACTTTGGTACTTTTAATGCGCAAAATTCAATATCTCCTGTCGCATGTCACGCGAACTTCAGGCATATATTTGTTTCACAAATTTGGGCGGAGTCAACTTCAAAACTTTTTTGGCATGCTCCCTCTTAAGCATTTCTTCTGTGGGATAAAAGCTCGACTTATGTGAACAGAGTTGTTGATGAGACTTACACAGTGTCGATTGAGCCGGCATGCAAATGATGAAGATCATCGTAGCACTTATTCTACGCAGAAGAAGTGGCGCGTATCAGCTAGTATCCATCAGTGCCGAGGCGTGAAAATTGTATTTAGTAAAGCCAGAGCAAAACATAAAACACTTGCCTTAACGAGTGGTGCCTTGGCGACGATTACGCTCAACACTTATTAGCACACAATTTACTAGAACACTTTATTTCACTAGTTAATTATATTGTACACGTAACATTGAGCGTAAAATGTAGTAAATTACTTTTATATTTATAATATATGATGACACGTGGAAAATTATAGGCAAGCCGGTGGGAATTGGGTTATATGGACTCGTCGCTACTGGTACCTATATAAATCAAACAAATAAGTAACCCCGAATGAACGTAAATTTATCAAAATAAAATTGTCCCAACGACTATCATGATGATTGTCTGTAATAAGGGTTATTTTCTCTTCCTATTGTTTGTATTTATATTTTACGTGATTGAAACGTGTAAAAAGCCTTTTTTGGAGATTGTTATTAATTGTGTTATACCATAGGTTTACAAACTTTTTGGCATACCGGTAAAAACTTGGGCATGATGAAAAAAATTTTAAAATTTCGACCACGAAACATATTGAAAACACGTATCCTGTATATTGACCTAACATATATCGCACTGCTATTACAAATTTAACTGCCTCCGTGGCCGAATGGTTACCATGCCGGACTGCCACGTAGAGGTCCCAGGTTCGATTCCCGGGCCGGGAGAAATATTTGTATGGCCTACATTTATTTCTCTCGTGAGTTTGGGTGTAATTTGTAGTTGTCTATGTGTGTATCCATGGCACCCGCGACACAGGGTTTCCCTAGTGCGGGGCTATGTTGATTGTGTGTATGTTATATTTCTATGCTTATTAGTTCTCTATAATAGTGTTATAACTCAAAATATGTGAAATTCAAGATTATACCATTGTTGAACGTAGAATTTGATTCTCTACAGGTCAATAAAAACGTCGTTAGAATATTGTAAAAAACAACTAAAAAATGTCTACTTAACTACTTAACTTAAAATGAGCCACGCTTTATATGACCTAGTTCTGGCCAATATTTTTTATTTTTAAATATGTATATTTGATCTTTCACGGGAAGCGAGGACTTCATTATTCGTCGATTCTGAGAAAAAACACTAAATAATGAAATCCGCAAAAATAGTTTCATTTCCTATACACTTTTTGAGTTAATACACTATTATATTCACAATGCGCCATATGTAGTGTAGTTTATATAGATAATTCAGGTTTTTTTTGCTTTCGAGGCCCCTCTACGACCTTTATACGTCCCCTGGGGTATTAAGCACTTTGGGAAACGATGGTGTAGTTTTTTTAAAATTACTGCCTCTGTGGCCGAACGGTTACCACGCTAGACTGCCACGCAGAGGTCCTGGGTTCGATTCCCAGGCCAGAAGAAATATTTGTATGGCCTACATTTATTTCTCTCGTGAGTGTGGGTGTAATTTTTAGTTGTTTTCAAAGGTTTCCAATGGAGTGATCCAACAAAAAGAAATAACGGTCTCCGTGATTTACATTTTATTTTTGGAATACACTTTCATTTTCGTCACCTTATGTCAGGTTTGGACTTGTTACACAAACGCATATTATTACTGGTACATAAAAGTCTCGAAACCAAACAAACACTTAAAAAATATTATGTCACATGTTTTCTTCACACCCCTAAACCTACTTCGGTGTGTGTAGTTCCACAATCCTCTTATAAACTATTTAGTAACAATAGAGCCGGAGCTCACATGGATGTGAAAGCGTTCGTCCAGGGTAGTACTGCCACCTTACCTATTTCAGTAATGTATACACGTACGTCTCAGGGTGACGGGCGCTGTGGCAGTGCACCTCAGATCTTTGCGATTTAAATCTCTTAATGGCACTGCAACTGTTATGGACAGGCGTGTAGATTACCGTCAGTAGTTACTTGTCCGTCCCGTCACTTAATATTATTAAAAAAAAAAGAAAAAATAAACTTGAAAAAAAAATAAATGTGTATTTATACACAACAGAAAAGTAACTTACTTCACGCATGATTATAAAATTGTCAAAATAAGTATCTATATAGTTATATATGTACATCTATAGAAATAAACGTCTATACGGTTATATGTATATGCACATTTCTATTAAGTATGTCGGTTTTCTTATCTGTTTATTTAAATCCTATTGTTGATGTGATTTAATCATGTGAATAGTTTTAATATTCTTTTTTATTTTTTTTTTATTATTGTTCATGTTTTTTTTTGTTTACGTGAGTGTCTGTGTTTGTACAATAAACAATTTTTCATTCTTTCTTCCTTACAAAATTGAAAAAAGAATAGTATGTATATCATGTAGATTCCTCCGAACAATAAAACGCCTGAAACAGAGTGCTGACATACCACCAGACGTACCTCTTCAATGGGCACGGATGCTTAGGCAAGTTCCTGTGCGAAGTGCTAGGTAGGGAGCCGTCAGCAGCATGCCACCATTGCGAAGCAGCCGCGGACACCGCGCATTGCACGCGCGATGAGTGCCCAGCTTGGGCGGAGCCTCGCGCCTTGATGTCCGCGGTAGTAGGAGCACCCCTATCCTCCCAGTCTTGGTGAGAGACATGGCTGAAAGCGAAGAGGCCTGGAAGGCCTCCTTCAGTGGTGTCGTCATAGCGCAGAAGAAAGCGGCGGAGAGAGAGCGGGAAGACAACGTCAACTCACCTTAGCCGCATAGCGCCCTAAGGGGGATCTGCGGGTCATAAATCGGGAGTCTGTTGCCTGCAATGAAGGAACCCGTGCTGAAAGGCGCCCCTAGGATTCAAAGTCTTCAAATTGCGCCGCTTCTACACCTACCCACACAGACCTGTCATCAATCCCGTGTAGTATGCATTTCGCAGCTCTTTTGCCCTTAATATCACAGCGATTAACTAAGGCAACTTTTTCACAGAAATAGGTCTCTAACGAATCCCCAAACACAACAGAGAGCATTTATCCATAGTTTTCGTCGGCAGGGAATGCATTCCTAAGCTTGCTCTGCCATTCAAACCAGTTAAACAAAACAGATGGTAATCCTTCATACCAAAGTTTAGCCATACCGGCGAACTTTGGTAATGCATACCTAATGTACAATATGCCTATCAGTCCAATCATACAATACAGCAGCCATCAACTTTCATCAACTAGGTATTGAGTCTGTTTCTTCAATGAAGGATCAAATCCCGGAATAAGGTTGGAATTAGTAAAAGATTCCTTGTTTTTACTTTGTCTCAACCCTTGAATCATATCAGCTTACTTAGTAAACAACTCACGTGTATTCTGAAGCCTTCCTGTGCCTCCCAACTGGTGGCCGGCTTCGATGTGATGGTTGGACTGCACGTTCGCGTCTTCGCTCCTGATGCCGTACTTGGGGTGACCTGGTAGTGCAGCGTTCTCTAGATCGTCATGTAGTACGACGAGGTCTGCTCCTGCTCTGTCTGTTTCTCAAGGAATGTGTTACGGATTCTCTTAAAATTTCTTCATTCAACCATTTTTCGATTTCGTATGGGCCTTGGGCCCTCGATTGTGGACACATACTCACTGAAACAGGAAGACATAACCGACATATTTTTTGTACAACTGTGGACAGATTATTATCATCTAACATCAAGTCAATGCACAGTCATAAATTAAAGTAATGTCGGGGCATATATCAACCATTAGCTTATATTCATTCACATAAAATCATAAAAGTGGAAGTCAGTACCGAGGTAAGGGAGGCCCATAAGTCCTTAGAAAAGTAAAATTTGAATTAAACGAAAACGGCGCGCGTGAGCGGTGCAGGGGAAGCGGGGGCAGTAACTTCGGTTTCTGGGAATTTAGTCGCGATGGAGCGTTTCACCGGAGCGGACCGTGCGTTTTGTGTGCGCGAGTTTTATCAAAACAACAATTCGGCAACCGTTGCGAGGCGAAAATTTCGAGAACACAAAGGTTTACACAACTTTGATGACACCCCAGCTCTCCAAACGATTAAGAATTGGGTTGCTAAGTTCGAGGAGACCGGTTCGACGTTAGATAAACCACGGTTGGGTCGCCCAAGAACATCACGTACGGAACAAAACATCGACACAGTGGCACAATCTATTCGTGAAAATCCAACACAGTCAACTCGTAAGCGTTCCAGTGCATTAAACGTATCCAGGACATCGTTACAACGGATTTTGAAAAAAGATTTACTTATGCACCCTTACAAAATTCAGTTGGTGCAAGAATTAAAAGAAACTGATGCTATTCAGAGAGTGAATTATGCTAATGAAATGTTTAATCGGTTTACTTCGTTCAATAACATAATGTTCTCTGATGAGGCACACTTCCACATTAACGGACACGTTAGTAAACAAAATTGCCGCTATTGGAGTCCGATTAATCCAAAACTTAAGCACCAGAAGCCCTTACATAGCCCTAAAGTTACAGTTTGGGCCGCTATGTCAGCCCATGACATCATAGGGCCTTACTTTTTTGAGGACGGCAGAGGGCGTGCTGTTACTGTTACTTCGGAACGATATGTGGCCATGATCGAGGAGTTTTTCACACAAAAATTGCAAAACTTTCCAGGCTTTAATGCCCGAACATGGTTTCAACAGGATGGAGCAACTTCCCACACCTCCAATACTGCTATGCCCGTTATCCGTCAACTTTTTCCAAACAAAGTTATCTCTAAGAGAGGAGACATTTCGTGGCCACCACGTAGCCCGGATCTGACTCCAATGGATTTTTTTTTGTGGGGCTACCTTAAGGCTAAAGTGTACGACTCTAACCCGCGGTCAATTAATGACCTAAAAGAAAACATCCGCAGAGAAATGGCAAGCATTTCAGCACTGACGTGCCGCGCAGTCATCGACAATTTCAGAAGGCGTTTGCAAGAGTGTCGTGACTGTAACGGATTACATTTGGACGACGTTATTTACAAAAAATAATTCCCGTTTTTCTAGCTATATTTACAAATAATAATATTATTCATAATGTAATTAGTTTTATTTTAATTAATTTTTTTCATTACTAAGGACTTATGGGCCACCCGTATAATAAAAAAATAATAGAAATAACACGAATAAAATTCCTATAAAAAAATTAATAAAAAAAATCCTTATGTACTAATCATGCTTTCCTTTATTCTCATTTCACTTGATAATTGATGTATAATTACTAAGATAGAGGGCAATATCATAATTTTGCCTTTATCTCGCATTGTATGCACACACAAGGTGTTATATGTCGTTATTGTATATAACACCTTGTGTGTGAATATAGCAAAATATATTTCAAAATAAATAGAAATCTACAAAAGAAGACAGCTACATAGCATATTACGACTAATTCATTTCTATTCGTGTGTAACGACGCGTAAACAAAAACAAGAAATCCGTTTAAATGGTGTACGTAGATTCACACGGTCATACACGTTCAAATAAGGTAAAGTTAAAGAATTATAATGGAGACAAATTTACTCACGCGTTTCGTTCCCAATTGTGACGTGGACTCCTCCAAACACTTCAATAAAACGCCGTATTAACAAAAGTGATTTATTGAATTATCTATCCGTCCAACTATTTATAATATGTAACTTTAAAATGTATTCACAAAACGCCGTAACTTGAACATTAATATGCTTAATTTACCTTAAATAACTAATAAAAAGAATTTTTCTATTTTTTTATAATTTCTTACAATCATTACGAAATAATTTTGAATGTCGATAGCAAAAAAAAGCAAAACAACAAATATCGTAAAACGCAACACAAAAACCAGTATGTTTATACAATACAACAATGACAATAATTTCCAAAATACGGCTATGAAAGTACTTGTTCCGAAGCGCTAATAACGTATCACAATTATACTTCAGCTACAAAATTATATTAGCATAGTACCGATGAGGTGGGTGATATAGAAGCACAGAGGGGGAAGCCTGCGAAACGATGCAAGTTAAGTCACCGTTCGTTCTGCCGACAACGTAAACTGCAATTATAAAGGCCCAAAATCTTGTACCTATGACACACCATTGTTCCATAGTCCACTACGCATGCGAACCGCATATAAGAAAGAATATTAAGTAACATTTATGCCAAGACGTTCTCGCTAGACATTGTTAATAAACAACTTTGCCATAAAAATAATAAAACCATTTGATTATGCATACGAATCAGATTAACCTCTCGTAATATGTGCAATTTCATAAAATGAGAGGCTGCAACGAATTAATTAACCTTTTAATAATTTTATCTATCTAGGTAGTTTAAGTATTGTCGACATACCATATGTGGGGATTGCGGGCTAGATTTTTTTCTTAGCGCAACTGTTCAGTCAATTCAAACGGCTGCTAGATTAACGTCACAAAGTAAAAAAAGTGATAAAGAAAGTTATCGGATGGAATTACCATATACTTACTGGAATTACCATATACTACCCGTATACGATGAGGCGCGATTGCCTCAATTGAACAGCTTGGTTTGATGCACTTTACTTTTTATTTTTATGGCTCCATCATTATGAGAAATGATGATTTTGCCAATGTCACGGTTGAAAGAGAAAAAACGAAACAAAAAAAAAATTCGCTAAGCTCTAATAGGACATTAACCGGTGTTGGTAAGTTGGACCACGGGAGTACTCAGTTGAGAATGTAAAACAAAACAACATTTATAAATATATGTTATTTAAGTGGATAAATTTACATAGAGTAACAATATGGGGGGAGAACACTAAAGTTAAGAGGTTATTTATGTTAATGAGCGGGGGAAATTTGAAGAAAGTAAGTTTGATGCACAGTTCTGCTTCTTCTGACCCTGTGCATGATGACATGAATACTATTTTTTTTGTTTATTGGCTCCGGTTCTAGTCCATAACCAATATTGTAACTGAGGATTTAATGAAGAGTGGTCCACCACTCGCAGATGTGCCGTATCCGGCGGTCATGACCAGGTGAATGAGACGAAATTACTTTTTACTCAAATCACCAGGCCACGACTGACTATAGAGCACATCCTTTTTGGTGAGCCTTTGTTGCATGAATATAATGGCAATAATTTTTCATAATTGCATATCACGCAGTTATTTTCCTGCGCACCTTATGCGAATGTTGTTCCAATATTAAAAAATAGGACAGATGACCTAAGCAACCCTACAAACTAACGACCAATCTCGCTTAACAAATCCATTTATTACGGAAACGGTAAAACTAAATAAAGCTTCGTTTGGATTTCGGCCTGGTTTGTCGACGGACATGGCTATATTTTACCTCAAAAATACCATAAAGCATTACTTAAAAAGACAAAACTACTGTCTATGGTTTGGCTTTCACGACCTAAGTCGTGCTTTTGACACCATTAACTACGAACTATTGCGGTCAATGTCTGTCGAGATTCTGGTAGAAATCAGATTAACCTTTATGTAATCGATTTGATGGAGGAGCTAAGCAGAGCTGCAATCGGCAGTCATGTCGCAGGAGATTATGCAAACAACTTTAGTTGTACTGACGTTATGGCACTGTTGAGTACCTCTGTTAGTGGAATTAGGAAACTTATTGACGTATGTGAACGGTATGCTGTCGCTTATGGTCCATTATAACGTGAAAAAGATAGAACTGATGAATGAGACCGCCGCTTGACGTCGCCCTTCCGGCCCTCACCGAGCGTTTACACTACGCCGGAGTCACCTCTGAACTCCGACCCTACGGGTCAGCGCGTGGGGTTACACGCGTGACGGTTTGAGGCCCGCATCCCTCCAACAGAGGAGTGTCGCAGGAAGGTGGAGCTCCTCTACCGGCATCGCCTTCGTTTACAGCACGCGGCACCGCGAGGATCAGTATGTTCGGTGTTCAATTATCTACAATCCGCTGAGATGGCGCGCTGAAAATCGGGATGGTTTGGCCACGGGGAAACGCGTAACTACACCATGCCCGTGGAAGGGTTGGGGCACAAGTCCTCGGTATTTCGTTAATAGCACGAGTTTTACATCTCGCCACTTGCGTCCGCGCCAGCGCTCAACCAAAAAGTAGTGTTGCGCGTTTCAGAACATAAACAATTTCTGAAACTAGCTATCGGTATAGAAACGGCTTTGACGTTTTAGCTGTCGCCACCAATTCTGTTCCCAGTCTGAACGTGTTAAATTTAAATGCAATTATGCATGCAATTAGTTATTATTAATATCATGTAAGTATAATCAATCAATCTCGTTAACTTGAAGTTAAACTGCCACTGAAGACTGATTGAAATAATACAACAGTAAATACGGCAAATTCATTTGTACTTGCAACGTTTTCACAACTTAGAAAAGAGCTTTGCAAAGGGCCCTCAATATTATATATTGTTTCGATTTTAAATATACATGAACACATTTCTTTAGGTCATGCTAAAGTGAAGATAGGAACTACCATTGTACTATAAACCTCATCACGCAATAGAAAGTTTAGATAACCGAACTAATAAACCGCGTGCTGTGA